CCGGGTTTTTTAAGAATAATTTTAACTGCACAACTTTAAATATTGGTTTAATTTGGTTTTATCTGGTGGGGGTTGTAAACATGTCTATGTTTTTTAAATATGTTGTGAGCCGCCCTGAGTCCCGTTGGGAGAAGGGCGGGATATAAATCAAAACAAATAAATAAATAAATAAATAAATATTATTACATTTACCATGGATTAGTTCATATCCAGGAAACCAGTGTAAAATCAGTAAAAGCCAAAGGTTTGGGGGGGTTTCATAATCTTACTCATAATCTTACAGTTTATTCATAATCCTACTCAGATGATCTTAACTCAGTTTTTCCCTGTGGATTCAGTCTCAGCTTATCTAACAACCTGTTGCTGTAATCTGCCCACTTAGGTGAGATGGGCAGGCTAGACATTTAATAAATAAAAATAAATTAATAACTCAGTGACACATTCTTTCTGTTCCCCACCATATCACTAGTGTGCAGTAGTTTTCAGAACTGAGTCTCAAGTCTTAAGTGTTCATTTCTTTTGAATGACATTCTCCATCATTGCAGGATGTTTAACAGGCAATCAACTAACCATTCATTACAATTTACATAACTCACACAAAATTGAAAAGCGAATCTCAAACAGCCTCCTCAATACTAAGTTTGCAAACCTAAATTAGAATTTGTCTTAAGTTTAAAGTTCAAATTAGAACTTGACATATTAATTAAAAGCTAACTTATGATAATTTGGTTTACTCCACTTTGAGGTTCTTGTACACATAGAATAGCATACATTGAAGTTCTGATCTGGCAAATAAATGTAAAAAATAAAACAAACAAAACCACAGTCTTGTTAATATCATAAGTTACCCAAAATGAGTTAGAATACAAATAACCTGGCTAAATGGGGAGGAAAAGGGGACACATCATCTTTTTGTCAGTAACATATCAGTTCAATCTTCAAAATTTGCAAAGAATCTGCTAAATAAAAACCATATACTAAGAGAAGATGAAGAAATAGAGACAAAAAAAAGAAACTGCACTTTTAAATTCATATTTCTTACACAGTTGCTGCCATCATTTGATATCGGTGCATGGACTGAAGAAGATGTGGTAAGCAGCCTTTATTAATTACAGTAAATCAATATTTTTCAATTTAGCTAAGACATCTTTCGTTAAGCAAAGGCCACCCTAAGCCATGATGGGAAATCTGTCCCTCCCTTAATACTGATGCACTACAAGTCTGTTTATTTTTTATCAAGAATGTTGGCTATGAATAACGGGGTTTGCAGTCTAACCACATATGACCACAGACTCCCCATCCTTGGGCTAAAACTTTACTTTTGTTTTGTGCAACATTTGTCTGTGGCACCTTCTTTCCTGTAGTTTAATCTTAAAATGAACAATGAGGAATGGACTGTGGATTTATTTTTCTATAAATGTCCTCCATCAGGTTCACAATGGTAGATGTTCACGTCTATGAGATACATGGAAGTTCAGACTACTGGCAGGGAGAAAACAATGTAAAGAGAGTCTTAGAAGAAAAGAAGGTGGCCCAGAAAAAGTGTTTTCATAGCATCACTGGAAAAGAGATGTTGAGAAAGTCAAATGCAAACTCCTATCTAATTTAATTGATATTACTTATTATGTAACCTTATTTGACATCTATAGACTCTAGACAGCTTACAATCTATGGAACAAAATACAAATTCTGATAGAATATTTGTAGCTCAGGGTTGAACTGGGGGTCCTTGGTGTTCTCTGAGCTTGACTGTGCTTTTGCAGATGTTTCATTACCAAGTTAGATAACATCATCAGTGCTAGGTTCCTTGGTTGGTCTGGTGTTTACTGTCAGCTGTTATCAACTCAGACAAACACGCTAACAGTAAATAGCCCAATCAAGGAACCATCAAGACCACTCCCACCAACATTGACAGGGCAAGCCACTAACATATAAAATAAGAGTAAACCCCACTCCCTATTAGCACTGATGGTGTTATCTAGTTTGGTAATGAAACATCTGCAATAAAATAACCAAGCGTGCAGAGCACCAAGGACCCTGCAAAGTGCAAATTAAAAACGTATAATAAATATCATTTCAACTCTGGGCAATCAGCTCCTTTGGGTTAGGTGACATGCCCTGCATCAAAATTCTTTGCAATGGAACAGCTGTAACACATTCCCATAATGAAAATTGGAAGGAACCAACCTGAACTTATGGACAGGCTATTCCAGAGCGATGGGACTACAATCAAGGAGGCCTGCTTTCATGTCCATGTTATATTCTGAAAGGGGATGATCTGCATCCTGGCCTCTCACATGGAATATAGTAGATGGGAAGAGTTTAGCTACAACAGGTAGTCCTGAAGTTAACAAAGGTCCAAGCAGTGAAGTAGGCCATAACAGCACCTTGGATAAAATCTGGAAGGCTACAGGCCGCTCCAGTAGAAATGGTGCTACTCTGGTAAATTGGTTCTTCCCCATCAGCATTTAGGCTGCGGCATTTGGTGTTGACTGAAGCTTCTGAATATGGACAGCCTCGTGTAAAGCAAATTGCATTAATCTAAAATATCCTGTGCAGTCTAACTAAGGATCTTAGTAATATGTCCATTGGTAGTAATTTAGAAGTTAGCATTTTAGTTTTTCTTATATTTACGGTCCTACATGGTGGGACTGTTTTGCCTTCAGACCTATTATTAATATCTTAATGGAAGTTTAAACTTATACTTCATAAACAACAGTGAGACATTTCTGCACAGGAAACATTCTTAAATTACAAATGACTGTGCATAAACATATTTATTTCAAAGAAGAAATATATGTCTGGTAATTTCTACCTTACATTATAATTCTAGAACTTTTTGTTGATTTTTTTTTTTTTTAAAAAATGGAAATGAGGGCTGAAAACCTCAAGCACATTAAAATGGAGATATTCTATGGAGAGTGTAAGCAGTAATTGTCTTACGGTGCCCTGGCCAACAACTAGGTTTACTCAAGGATCGTCTTGGAGACAGAATGTGGACTCAAGGGCAGAATCTGATCCCTCTCTCATGTTAGATTGCCAACTCATCTTTCTGCTTTAGTCACCGTCAGTCTACATCTTCCTTTGAATTGGCAACTGATGAGAGGAGCTGGATTTGGCCCTGGTTGCAAAATTTTAATCTCAGATGTAAGATTAAAGTATGTTATTGTGTTTTTTTACACAATCCCTATTCATTTAAACAGCTTTCAGGACCACGTTTTTTCCTCTCAACATGTTTTCTGATTAGATGTGCCATACAAAGCTTTTCATGCCTCAGATCATAAAATCAATGTCCTTTCTTCACAGTATTTTTGGATGCAACAGCTCGTTAGAAAAGGTAAGGCTCTATATATGTCTAGCTCACAAGAACTAAATGAATAAAAGTATTGTGGTGATAGACTAAGCAAGGTTAAAAGCTCTAATACAACTAGAAAAAGCATTTAAAAAACCCTTTGAGTTGTCTTAAGATTCAAAGGAACTTAGCTAACTTTCTCAGTAAAGCGAAAAGAACAAATCCCTCAACCAGAATATGGGAATATTAAGACATCTCTCGCTGATAGATATTACTCAATTTACATCCTCATTGAGTTGACAGCATGAAATAAATGAAGCCAATAAAAGTTTCAGTTAATATTTTCAGCATAATATTTTTAGAGAAACAAGGATTCCAACGGAAATTCTGTATAAAATGAATTCTGCTTCCGAGTCTAGAAGGAAAACCTTGTTCATTTAATGGGATTTTGTTGAAGCAGCACATTGGCAAAGCAGGGGGCAGCAAATTAAAGCAAGAATAAATTTGTATACTAGTTTTCTAAATAATTGGTGTTTATAATTTTTTTAATTTAAAAGATTACTGAAGGCTGGTACAGAACAAGGTTTGCCTGTTGCTGTTCTCATGTTGGAAATCTAAGGCACTAGCTCACAGAGAATGGAGTGTTCTTTAGGGTACAGCAAGACCCAAACCCAATAAAGGAGAATATTTGTAGCTTACAAATATTTATATTTATAAATGAGGGGTTCTTGGTGCTCTCTGGTCTTGGCTGTTTTTGCAGATGTTTCATTACCCAAATTAAGTAATATCATCAGTGCTAGTAGAACAAAAAGCCCCTTGAAAGAGAAATGCACTCACAAAACTTGATCCTTCTATGTCTAGATTTCTGAACAATGTCTTATGATCTTAAGGTGATACATCTGGCGATATGAGCATGTATGCTAGCATGTTTAAAGAGCATCACATCACAGGAAAACGTCTACTTCTTCTGGAAGAAGAAGATTTGAAGGACATGGGAATTCTTTCCAAAGGACACATCATTCATTTGAAGGTATCTAAATTGCAAACTTTGGGTGATCATCAAGCAATGAAAAGAACACCTTATTTCTAGTATTAAATTCTAAAGCTGATAATCTATGACAAAAATGATTCCAGATTTACTAAAATAAAAATGATTACATACAATACATATTATTTCATGAGCTGCTGAGATGTTAAGCGTGTATTCATGGCCTTTGATATATTCATAAATCTTTTTCTTATATTGTTTTGCACAACACATGTACAACTTGTCACAAACCTCTGGTTATGAACATTGATGTGCTGAGTATAGATATCATGAATAGGTAGCAAGGATGAGGTAGAATGGGAGGTAGGTGCAGCTCTTTACTCTTGCAAAAAAAAAAGGGGGGGGGAGGAATTGAAAAAATTGCTCTCACACTCCTATAGATAAGGAAAGCATTGCAAATATATGCAAACAAATATTTATGTATGCAAACAGTATTCTTGATCACAAACGTTTTAAAAGCTGAGGGGAAGCAAAGTGGTGGTAAATCAGAGCTCAGACGCCAAACGATGTGGGCAGTATTGTAAGACTACTTCTATTAAATATCTGTAGACACTGTCCAACAAAGCCATAGCTTAGTAGATAATGCCCATCATCAGCATCAGCCATTTTATTTAACCAGGAGATTTACCATTTTATAGTCTCCGTGTAAAACTGCTTTCACTCAGAATCGGTACCACTCTGGTCCAGTCTGGCCATTTCTAAGATATTTGCATCTTGATAAGACCCAATCGGGTGTGGATGCTTGACTCTGACAGGTAGTCTGCAGTTCAGTCACTACTCCAATACTTCACTCACCACTTAAGGCTGACCGTGCATCTGCTCTCCAGCATCAGCAAGTAAGATTGCTGAGCAACAGATAGAAGAAAATGGTGCTCTGTGAGGGGACTGACCAAAAAGTGCCTTCTTGCCCCACAGAGTTGAATGTTTTATGAGATCGCTACATGAGAAATTGTTTGCAGTCATGTCCTGTGTTTAACTTTCCCTGTTCTTTTCCTTCTTAGACTGCCATTGAGAAGCTATGTCAGGATTTCTTCAATATGTTTCATTTTCCACCTCTGATTAAGGTAAGTATGGTGTGTCCTTGTGTGTCTAATCATACTAGGCCAAATAAAACATTCTATTTTGATTAAACAAGAAATCTATGTGAAACATTTGTACTAATATTTGCTATTACTATCAGCCAAATCTAAAAGCATATCCAGGCTTAACTATCTTGAGAAGAGTCTATATTTGGTTGTAACTATTGGAGAACTCTGAATAATCTATGCTCTTGTTTTATTGGAAAGAAAATTTCAATACTGAAGAGAAAAGTGAGCAATTGATCCATCTGGGTCAGAGAGTGCCAGGCTATTACACATCAATCTAGACTGGGACCCAATATTACAGCAATTTATTTTTAATTTTTTTCATAACTTTCAGCAATGCTGTATCATTTACCAATTAAACAATCAGCATTCATGCCCCAAATTCTGCATGGCTCTCTATCACCTACAATTCTTCCAGGGTTTGCTAGGTTCTTGTATAACACTAAGCCATAATACAACCAATTTGATTCTGGATGAATTCAGTGTGTGAACCCATCCATTCTACTTTGAACCATGTAATTTGCCTTGTTGAATAAACAGTTCTTTTTTTAAAAAAAAATCCAAACCCAGTATTGTGAATTTTGATGACCACCATTGTTGCGTGATAGAAAAGCAAAATCATGCAACAGGTCTCCCTCTTTCTTGCCATATGACTGGAAGTTTGGAGTCAATTGCAGTACTTTATGAATTATAACACATTGACCTTAGGGAGGAATTGCTTGAATCAGGTGAGGGAATCTTGCATTGCTAGCTTATAGTTCCAGGTTTGGACAATTTGGTTCAACTGCTACCCACTTGATAAGGGTGCAAGTGCAGTACCCAATGTTTTGCAGAACTTCTCAATTTCTTAAGGTTCTTTTATGGGAGGCATAAAAAATTCCCTAGGAAAAAAAGGGGAAGACCAAGATTGAATGCATGAGATTGCCTTCCAGGTGCACAATTCTGGATTTTCCAGCTGGGATTCCTGATCCCTTTTGGCCCTGCTGCACAGGGAATATCTGACACCTCCCTTAGAGGTTTACATATTTGCTTTTAAAGCCTGAATAATACAACATTCTTTCTTACACTCAAGATTTAAATTGAGCCAGACTGCTTCAGTCATTGTGCAAAATGGTGAAATACTCAACTCAAATTATAGCATTGTCTTGAACTTAAAACAACAACAGAAGTCTGAGGTGAACCAAAATGACTAATTGTTCTTTTTTGTGGCAGGATTCTGCCAGTGAAAATGAGGCCAGTGAGGTGAAAGTGCTGAATCTGGAGCTTGTTTTTGGCTACCATTTAAAACCTGGAAAGGGTCCTCAGGTAAATAAATGAAGATTTCCTTTTATTTGCTTCTGAAGCAGAATTAATCTGTCCTTAAAATCTTCACAAGATACTTCTTCGCTGCAACACGGAAAGCAGCCATGGTTTCGCTTAGCAACCACAATTGTTGGTCCCAATTGTAGTTGTTAAATTAGGACTGCCTGTTCTGGAATTCTGAACTGCAAAAATGTATTTTGGCATGTTTGCTCATAGAGTTTGAAATTTTGTGTTTGGTTACATAACTAGTCCTGATGATGCCAATTTTACTATTTCTGATTGTCTGGTGATGAGCAATTTGAGATCAAACCTATCAAGATAGATAGACCTCACCGGAGATATTTGCACCAGGAAACCTGGGATACATTCAATATATGCCGATCTATGATTAAAATTCTACACAGATGGATGTTGAAAACTTAATCCAGGTACAGGCACTTTAAGCTAAAGCAAAACTCTAATTTGAGTTACTTTTGAAGTCTCAGATTTGCTGTTTGGATTATTCCAGGAATAAACCTTAAATCTGAATGTTTAAATTTTAGCGGTGATAAGAAGAATGTCAGCAAAGGGAAGAGTACCATGCAAGCTCTATCTGTTTCTGAATATGTCATATGATTTGGCCCAGGTGATAAATCTCTTAATATATTTTATGTAAGACTAACTTGTTTCAAGAAAGCTCAGTTCATCCACTTAATGAACAAAGGTTTAATGTGGCTGGTGTATGTGATTCCCTTTTTAGTGCATTTCCACTGATAGCTATTTGTATTTCAAGGTATAAATTCAAGGTATGAAAGTGAATTTGGTGTAGTGATTAAGGTGTTGGCCTTGAATTCAGGGAAATGTGGCTGGTGTATGTGATTCCCTATCATTTCCACTGATAGCTATTTGTATTTCTGGGCAAAATTCAAGGTATGAAAGTAAATTTGGTGTAGTGATTAAGGTGTTGGCCTTGAATTTGGGAAAATGTGAAGTCTACTGCTCCTTTAAGCATGAAAGCTGGTGGGTCACTTTGTGGCAGTCACTTTCTCACAGCTCAAGAATTGTTGTTGGAGGAGAAAGAGAGGGCAGGAACATTGTACACACTATCCTGAATTGTTCAATATTAGGGTGAATATAGATCTATAAATCAATGAATAAATAAATGATGAAACACAGATAGTAACTAAGTCTGCTTGAACCCAATCTGTTTGAAAGACTGTGCAGGACTGAAGATTTAGTTCCCCCCCAAAAAAGTATGCAGGGCAGAAACACACCAACTGTTTGCAACTTTTTAAAGAAGTTGCATCTTTTTCCAGCATCACATAGATTCACGTGGCTTCTTTAAAGTGTCACAGACAATGTTTAAAGTGTTGCTATGTTTTTGCATGGTCCAAAGAATCATTTTGGAATTGAATTCAAAGAATTGCACAGCCCTATCTTTTAACTGATGATTTTGTAGGTTGTATTTACTTGTATGATTGTTAGACTCATTTTATACTGCTTTGAAGAGAGATTCACAAAATAAATCCAATAAACTGTTACTGGAATTATTCCCCTGGCTTCCCTTCAGTTCTGCATTCTGCTGTACGAGCAATATAGAAAATAACATAACTTTGGAACCAGGTTCTTTAAATAATAATTTCTGAGCAGTTGCATGATTTATTGCTTTAGTTCCTAGATTTATGGAGAGAGAGAGAGAGAGAGAGAGAGAGAGAGAGAGAGAGAGAGAGAGAGAGAGAGAGAGAGAGCTTATGTTTCAGCTTCCTTCCTATACAATCAGGCCATCTTCTTCTACAGGAGAGGATATAATGATGTAGAATGGTGCTAGCTTAAACATTATTCAAGTTCCTGTTTATTCAGTACTGTCTCAAACCCTGACTGGAAAACATTTTGGGAAAACACCTCTGCTAGTTACTTTAGTCCAATTCCCATTGGACTAAAGTTCATTTCAGCCAATTATTGGGAATTCTGAGATAGGAGTCCAGTTCTGTTCACCAGAATCTTTTCATTTGTAGGGGGAACTGAGATTCAAGAGAGGCTGTCTTCTTTGGGGTGGATGGGAGTGGGGCTTGAGACAACAATTTGCATGCATTCTTCCCACTCCCTGCAACTTTAGGGTTGCTTCCCTTGATCAACAGTATTTTCTGTTCAGCTAGAGACTCTTCAAAACAGAGAAAGGAGGAGGAATCAGTGAAACATTTTGTTGTATGACCTTCCACCAGCTCCACTGGAAGTCCCTTGAGAATAATGGAGAATACTGGATCCCACTCAGGTCATTCTAACTGTAAAATCTACTCTAATGTAGAAGAACCTGCCTAGAGGAACTTTATGAAAATGTCTACCATGACAACTTTACAAAGGAAAAAAGAATATTTTTTTAGAAGAGCACAGACCACTCTATTCTCCAGCAAATAGTTGAAACTACAGTATATTATTTCTGGATTGTTCACATTAGATCGTTTTAGGAGGAAGGCTAAGAAAAATAATAATGAAGAAAAATAAGAGATTTTTTTTTTTTAAAAAAATAAATATTTAGAATATCCTGCATGATGAATTTATAGAGATCTCTGCAAAGTTTTTGAACCAAATAAAGACAAAACTTTGGCAACTTGAAAAATGCATCTTTTAAACCCTTGGGATGGTATCTCAAATATCTTAAAAAAATAAAACGGGACGATCATCTTAAATTAGGTACTCAAATTGACAACATCCCTTATACAGAATAGCATCATCCTAACCTTCTAATCTTTGCTATTCTTCACAGAAGCTGCATCCGTGCAAGCATTAAGATGCTATAGGAGCAGCCTGTGAGATTTTTAAATATATCTTCTTGCAGTCACTTAGGCGATGAAAAATCCTGAAACTCATGGGTGTTTCTCTTTAAACAATAATTTTCCTTTCTAGAATTTCTCCATCTAACCCATCGAAACCTGCTGTTTTAAAAGGGCTGGAGACACACAGCTATTCCTAGCACCTAAACAAGTCATTATTATGCATAAATTCCACCTTACAATACTCAAAATAAAAAGAACAGCAAGCAAAGCATTTTTCTTTTCTTTTTTAAAAAAAGATACAGCCTGTTTTAATTACATTCAAGGACTTAATTCTGCCATTCTCAGCCAAAATTGCATTAGATTTGGGATGCTTTCCCACATCTGGTGAAACTGCCGGTAGTACAGAAACCCCACAACTCAAATATACTGATGCTTCACTCTATTTGCTTATTACTTTTAATGAAAATCTTTTCCCTAATACTATTAAAAAGTGGGAATCAATAACAACCACCACCACCACCACCACAACCTGCTGTTTAGGCAACCTTTTCCTGTAGTGGTGCCTGCTTGGCAGCAGTCCCCCTCGACCCAAGACAGAGGCCATTGTTAAGGCTATAACACATTTACATATTTTGCAATAAAACATCAGTTATTTGCATTACTGTGTCAAGTTTTATTTGATTCTTTCACCTAAAAATGACTCATTTTCCTTTCTTGTATTTTTTTTTTAAAAAGCCAAACTACTCTAAGCTTGTTTGAGAATAATCAAAAATTGCCCATTTAGCTAGAAGTCATTTTCTTTTCAAAAGGCAAATGTTATTTAATCTTTCAGCTGCTCATTGTGCCATCATAAATACTTTCTTTTCAGCACAGTTGTGGGGACTGAAATGAGCCCACTAATTGCCTCCCATTTCGACTGACATGTGGTGGTTTAGTGGAAAGGGAGCACAGCGGGGAGAAGGAAATAGGAGCCTGAGAAAATGAGAGCTAATTATTTTCCCTGCCTCGTGTCAGGCTCTGTGTCAGCCTTGTTTTTACAAACTGGAAGGTTTAGCACTAAATAAAACAAACTGGCGTCATGTTTTTATGTACTGGCAGTGTCATGGAAGCAGCTGCACATCTCAAAAGACAATATAATGCCTGCGTTCGCATGGACACCATCTGACAGCCACCGTGAGCCACGGCTAATGAGGATATCGCAGTGGTGCCAAGTGAAAGGTGCTGAATTATGTATGATTCTTCATCAGGACGGCAAGCGTCCTGTACATCATTATGAGACATTGTTTTGCTGAAAGAGATTAAAACATTCTTAGTGCCAGACCCTGCAACCTAAACAGGCGCTGAGAGGTTATTAATGGAATTTTGAGGGAGAGTTTCTTACAGATTTCTTTTGAGTTGTGGTTTTTTGTTTTTTTTTAATCTCTTCTCTCTTCTCTCTCTCTCTCCCTCTATTCCCCCCCCCCTCTCGTGGGACAAAGCAGTGGTGGGTCATGACACTATATATAAAGAAGAGAAGCAAATTAACCATACTTGTGTTCTCCCTTTTTAAAATCTGGCATATAAAATGTAGTGTAGCAGCGTTGGCTTTAATGATAAATAACCCAGGTGCTAAGACTATAGATGCTCCTGTTCTTATTGCCTTTAAAACAGCAGGCTTCGGCAACTGAGGTAGCTCATCACAAAGAATGCAAGGAATAACTGGGGGCCCAAATTATTAACGTGCTGCTACTTTTATACCAGCATGACCGGGGCTGCCTTTTTTAAGGCTGTACACGTCTGAGGTTGTATTTTGCAATGCCCATTTGCCAACAGTTCAATTCCTGGCCCCATGTTTTTTGTTTTTTTTTTAGTTTACCATAATATAAATCTGAATTATACTATCCTACTTTCTCAATAAAAGCTTCTAAAAGAACTCATTCCTCTTTCAAGTTATAAATGTGCTGAAACAAACTATTGTTTAGTTAGCAGAATTCTGTGACCCTTGATCACATTCATACCGTAGAGTTCAGCATCTGGATGATTTTTGTCAGGGCTTTTTTGTGTCATAGAACGCCCAGAACGGAGTTCCGGCACCTTTTTTGGATGGAACCTTGTAGGGTAGGCAAGGCGGGTTGTATGACATGTGTGAGTTCCGGCACCTTTTTTTTTTTTTTTTTACAAAAAAAGCACTGATTTTTGTTTAAAAAAAAACAGCTTTTGAAAAAAGGTTGTCACTATTTGATAGAGGCAAGATTAGTACAGTGGCTACTC